CCGCAAAAAATGTGGCTGCGAGGTCAGTTCCCGCGATGCCTCTCCGCGGCAGGCCAATCCGGGTCTAACCCTCTGAACGGCCGGAAATGACGGTCCGTTGATGTGCCGAGTGCGACCACCCATCTTGCCATCTTTGAGGGTTACCCGTAAGGTTCAGCGCGCCCAAAATCAAGGGCGCCCTGAGCTCCCCTAATTTCCACTGCCTGGTCTAACCAGAGTACCGTCAAAACTCAGACTCGTCTTTGCGCCTAAGTCCCAAAACCGTAGATTTCAGGCGGCGCATTGCTTGTGGCCGCCTGACAGTTAGCCCGGACCACTTCTCGACGCCCCCGTTGAGCCCTAGCAACTTACGTCAGACAAAGCGGACGAGCTTCAGGGTGATGGCCCGTAAAGGACGCCCACGTCGGCGTTCAATTGTCTTATGTTTCAGTTTGTTATGAGTCCTGGGGCTAAGAAGATGTTTCTTGACTCTCCTGTTTCTTCTGTTTTTTGGCCCCGGCACGATCCTCTTTTTCTTCTGTCCTTGCCCCGAGAAGGGTGTCGATCCGCCAGTACGTCTAACGCGAACTCTCCGTCTAGCTCGCTTGAGCACGAATAACCATCTCTTCTCTCTTCCTAAAGCTAACCCTTTGACCTTTCTCTTCTCTATTCTTTTTCTTTTCTTGGAACTCTCCCCTGCCTCGAATTGCCTCAAGGGGGCTCCATCCTCCATTATGGCTTTTCCTTTCCCTTTCGGGCTAATCAGCGATAAGGCGGGCGCGGGCCTGGGCCTAAACAACTTTAACCGAGCACCCGCCACTGGGTCCTTCCACTTGGATCCGTCTAATTCTGCTATCATATATGCACCCCAGTCGAGTGCCTCAACCACTCTGTAAGGTCCCATCCATCTGTTGGCGARTTTTCCGGTCCAGGTTCTTTTCAGCGCTGCATCGTAGAGAAGGACCATATCTCCTACACTCACCCTCTCCTTCCTGATTCTCACGTTCTTATCCCATCTCTCTTTACCTTTGTCTCTTTCCACTACCAGACGATCTGCCGCTGTCATAAGGTTATCTTCGAAACCGTGGGCTATCTGTATTGTTCGGGCAGTTATGAGTTCCTCTCTGGACATCTCCTCCGCCCAGTCGACGGTTGTCCAGCTGTCGACGTGAAACTCTATGGGAAGCGGACAATGCCGCCCAAACCACAAGGTGTATGGAGGGTATCCCGTGCTAGCCCGGACCGTGACGTTGTCCGCCCAAATTGCGTATCGAAAATATCGTGGCCAATCATTGTCCTTGCCTTTGCACCACTTAGATAGCGACGCTATCAGGGTCTGGTGCCCTCTTTCTACTGGGGAGTTCGACTGTGGGTGGTAGGCAGTGGCTATCGAAACTCTCACCCCAGCTCTCTTGAATACATTCTGAACCTCGTCAGCCAGGAATTCCGCTCCTCTGTCAATCACTATCTTGCTAACAAAACCATACCTAGATAAGTACTCTAGGACGAAGTTCTTCACTTCCCTTGCCGTCTTACTCCTGATAGGTCTACCGTCCACGAACCCCGTGAAGTCGGCTCGTATGTTCACAACATAGTTCATATTGCCTACCCCTTTCGGCATCTTAACCCGATCGATGTGTACCTTCTCTCCTGGTCGGGTTGGATAGGATGGATGAAGTGGCTCTTTGTATTTCACAAGAGCTCTCTTCTGGCATTCTTCGCAGGTCATACAATATCCCTCGACGTCCTTATTCTGTCCTTCCCACCAGTACAGCCTCCGTACCTTTTCGTAGGTCCCTCTGACTCCTCTATGTCCTCCGACCACCCCGTCGTGAAGCTCCGCTACTATCGTCTGTCTCTCTTTAGGATCACAGACTACTCGTAAGGGCATCCCCGACCCTACTGGCCTCCGGAAAAGGTGGCCCGCTCTAAGGCAGTACTGGGCTGCTTGTCTCCGGATATCAAAATCTTGACTCTCCTCTCCCGTCAGGTGTAGTCCGATCGTTCGGTACTTGCCCTCATAAAGATTAACTAGAAATCTCTCGGCGCGTCTCGGCTCTGCCATT